GGCGACAGAGGAAGTGAAACTGCACTAGGGCAGGTGGAATAGGGCGGGGACAGGAGGTAACAGTTCCCTGAAGTGCCACTCCACCTAGCGGTGCACAGGGAAGGCCTATTTCCTGTACTAGAGGCTACTCACCCTGAGCTACATCCCTCTCCCTATTTATTCTTGATTTTGAAGCAGACTCTCGCTAAATTGTGAATTTGGGATCTTCTCGCCTCGCACAGTGCTGGGATCCAGGCGCGCATCACTCTGCCCTCTATTGCGTGCGGCCCTCCGGAGCGGGCAAGCTGGGCGGGCGGGCTGCAGAGCCCGGGCTTTGTCGCCCCCTCGCGGCCATAGTTGTCTCCGCGGCATTAGGGAAATTCAAGAAGGGGTCGCCGCAGGCGGGCGCTCCGTACCTGGGCTGGAGATACCCAGACCCAAGTAACCCGGCAGGGGCGTTTTAGGAGATAATCACAGATCGGGTAGGACACCGCGATTTCTGCAGGCGTTGGTGGGCTCCTGGGCGTGATGCAGCCCGGGTGGGCATCAATTGTTTTTGCCCTCTGCGTTTCTCATGCTGTGCGCCAGAGCAGATCCCTGCTCCCCTTGGGCCTCAGTTTACCCCTCCGTAGAGTAAGGGACCCTCTCGAGCAGGAAGAATGTACAGTCTCCCTCTTGCCAAACGGAGACCTAGCACCGATCAGATGAAGGAAGCCTAAGGTTGCAAGTGCCAGGGCGCGTTCTTTTGACACCCCCTCAGCTCGTGCAGCAATCCCTCAGTTTAGGGCAAGGCCTGCAGCCCCCCACCTCCCCGCTACCACCATAGAGTCAGCTAGCCCGAACTTGGCAATCTGACCAAGAGCTAGGGAGTTGCAGGGGAGGTGTGGGCCGGAGTTTGACCTCCCGGAGCCTCAGTGGACCCTTCTGCGGGAAAAGGAGGCCAAGCCACCACTGCAAGCTGCTGAGAGGATTAGCGGTCAGCACCTAGGGCTCCACGGGGTGGGTGTGAGCACCAGAGTGTTGGAAACACCGCTGTCACTTTCCATACACAAGCCCAAAACCTTGCACTTCCTGACTACAGGATAATCTTATTCAATGGCTGGCGAATTTACATGCACACTGAGGGGCTGAGTCTGGCAGACAGGGCATCTAAGAGGAATTTCAGGGACAAAGGTGGGGGACCAGTCCAATTTTTTTTTAATCGGTACCAGGGATCGAACTCACGACCACATGCTTGCAAGGCAGACACTTATGCCGCTGAGCAAAATCCCCAGCCCCAAATTTTGTACCTTAACCACATGGCTCTCTTCAAGCTTCTACTGTAAAATCTATGTATTCCATGACATAAGGTATGGTTTTGCGTGTTTCCAAACTTAATATAAACACAAAATAGCTTGTGTGTCTTTCTTATTATAAACCCAAATATCGAGTTCAGTCATCCAAGTATTGTAATCCTCTTTCTAATTTTCCTCACAATCCAAAAGGTTATATTTATAATTGCATTGAGACGTCAATGGAATCCCAGCTGGTCAATTCCAATTTACCACCACCAACGCAACCCACAGCGGGAGTAAAGACACCAAGACCACCAAGACACATTCCAAATTAAGGGCAGCCAAGGGGACTTAGGTCCAATCCCCATGAGGATGTGCAGGCAAAGGCCCTGATCCTAGACCTCTCCCAACATTTATTATCTTGTATGGAAGGGGGATGGCTCAGGGATGACTGACAGTAAAGATGGCTGGAATTATGTGAGTAACTTGAGCTGGCTGGCAGGTGCAAGATTGACATCTCTGTAAATTGCCGAGAGATAAAGATAATGTAGAAGGCTCAATTTACATAATCCAATTAAGGTAGCAGTGGAATTGTTTTGGGCTATCACTTTGGTTTCTGATATGCAAACTCTTGTGCCCTGGGGAGTCATAGCCTCCTATCTTCAGGCTGTACCCAGTTGACCTTCCTGGACCTGTTTGCTCTAACATCTGGTGTGCTCAATCTTGTATTGTGGAGAACACTACGGGAGGAAACAGGACCGTCTGATGGCTATAGGTTTTGCATATTAGCACCTCAGCTAGCCATATTTGCAATGCTTAGAGCCAATTGAAGAGAGAAGGAAATACCCTAGCCAGCCTTTCACATATCAATATGAAGAAATAAGTCTCCATATAATCAAAGTCACAGTAATTGTTTTGAATTCAAAGGGAAGTCACTGGAGTTGTCTCCCACATTTCTGTAATTTTGCTTACACAGGATTGACACTCTTCCTCTGGTCCACTGTAGTGTTATCATCTACCACAATTTATTCTCTCATTTTTGGTGGTGTGGAGGCGTGAGCCTGGAACAGTGTGCATGCTATCTATACACGTGCTCCACCACTGAGCTGCATCTGCAGCCCCCAGCTACATTTTCTTGATGCTTGACGTTGGGGCTGTACCAGTTTTGTGCGGCTGTGAACAGAAGTTCATGAGCATGGGATAAAGAGATTCTCTGAGGCTGGGTGCGGGGTGCACACTTGGAACCCCAGCCTCTGGAGGCTGAGGCAAGAGGATCACAAGTTCAAACCCAGCCTGGGCAATTTAGTGAGAACCTGTCGTAAAATTTATAAAAGGTCTGGGAATGTAGTTCAGTGTGAAGGCCCTGAGTCCAATCCCCAGGACCACACACACACACACACACACACACACACACACACACGCGCGTGCGCGCTATGTAGCATAATTTTTGAGGCAAACACAGGAAGTGCTGGAATTGCTGAATCAAGCAGTGTTCCAACTTTGACCTACTGGATCTGCACAGTCGGGTCTCCAACATGGTTGAACCAGTCTACATCTTCAGGAGCAACACTTGCGCATTGCAGTTGAGCTGCCCCAACACTTGGCATTGCCACAATTAAACTGTTGCTATGATGAGGGTGAAACAATACACTGTGGTGGATTTTAAGGCTAGTGATGTAGGTCTGTATTAGTCCATTTGTGTGGCTATGACAAAATATTCGAGGCTAGGTTACTTTTTAAAGTATAGGAAGTTTATTTGGCTTATGATTCTGGTGTCTATAGAGTCCAAAAAACATGGTACTAGCATCCTGGTCACAACATGACAGAGGAAACACACACACACACACACACCAATCTCCTGGGGAGGCCTAGTTTTATTACAGTTTGTTCCATCAAGAACCAGCTTATTCTGGGAGTCCAGCATTAATCTATTAAGGAGGGAGACCCCCTCCCCATGACCACTAAGTTCAACCACCTCAACACTGCCGCTGCTGGGGACCAAGGTTCCCTCTCATAAATTTTTAGGGGACAAACCAAGTCCAGACCATAGCAGCATTTTCATTAGCTGGTTTGTTACTTTTCTGCTTCCTCATCTATAAATTCTCATTGTCCATCTTTAAATTACTGACACTTAGGAGTTCTTACTAATACTTTGTTGATGGTGTGCTTATAGATAACTTCTCTTAGGGTACCTCTTATAGGTAACTTTCTAAATTGCTTTTAGAAAGTTTTTGGTGCTGGGGATTGAGCCCAGAACTTTGCACACATCCCCACCCTGTGGCTAGCTTTTAATACTGTCTTTTGACACAGATTTTTAATTTTAATAAGGTTAAGTCCTCCCAAGAAAATTCTACATTTTCTTTTCTTTTCTTTTTTTTTTTTTTTTTTTTTTTTTTTTTTTTTTTTTGTCTTTTTCCTTTTTATCGGTACCGGGGATCGAACTCACGACTGCCTGCTTCCAAGGCAGGTGCTTATGCTGCTGAGCTAAATCTCCAGCCCCGCCTAGAATGATTTTTGTGTATGGGATGAGACAGAGACCCAATATCATTTTCCTACATATAATCAGGCCGTAATACTATTTATTAGCCCATAATTCCCCCTCCTTTTTTTTTTTTTTTTTTAAACAGGGCTGGCCTCAAACTTCCTGAGATCCTCCTGAGTGCTGGGATTACAGGTGTTGGCCACCACAGCCCGCCTCCCACTTCTTTTTTAAGGGGAGAAAGGAAAGATTCCTTAAAAATGTACTGTATTTCTAGAAATTATTTAAAGATCAGTGGAGCAAACATCAGACGCCAAAGAGAAATACTGTCCTCTTCCTGGAAGCAGCCTGAGGGGACCTGTGAAAATGGTTCACTACTCCCTTGACTCAGAAAACCCCACAAAATCACGCTGAGGCTCAGATCTGCATGTTCACTCTAGGAACACCCATGAAACTGCCCAGGCCATCAAGGGTCTGCATGTCTGAAAGCCACCAAGTATCTGAAGATGTCGCATTAAAGAAGCACTGCGTGCCATTCCGGTGTTAACAACAGTGGAGTCGGCAGTCGTGCGCACACCAAACAGTGAGGCTGGACCCAGGTCGGTGGCCCAAAGAGTGCTGAGTATCTGCTGCACATGCTTAAAACTGCAGAGAGTACTGCTGAGCCTAGGGTCTGGATGCAGATGCTCTGGTCACTGACCAGATGAAGATGAACAAAGCACCTGGAATGTGCCGCCGCACTTACAGAGCTCCCCCGCCCCGCTGGGATGGCCCTTACTGCAAAGAACAGTGTTCCTAAAGCAGAGGCGGAAGCTGCGCAGCAGGAAAAGATGTCTCAGAAGGGACTGAAGAAACAAAAACTTACGGCACGGGAATAAATTAAGCATAAAATAAACGCAAATAAAAATAAAAAGGAAATAGATACTGTAATGCTTATTCTGCCTGGAGTCTGCCCTATCATAGTGTTCACTCAAGATAACTTAAGAATGTCACTTTCCGTTTCTGTGACCACAAAATGCAACTTTGGACTTTTCCCAACTTCCGGATCCTGCGCAAGAGCTGACAGTCCCAAAGAATAATTCCCCGCTTCCAGGAGCTGCAGGAACACTTGCTGGGGCGGACTTTCACTGGAGCCGAGGTCTGCCCTGCTCGTGGCGCGCAGTCAGCGGCCTGGCAGAGGACGCGCGCGGCAGAGCGCGGCAGGAATGGTGCTCGCGTCTTGGGATGCAGGAGGCAAGGTTTGTGCATCGAGCGCAAAATCTAGCGCTCGGGCCTCCGAGGGCGCTAGGGGGCAGTGACTTCAAGTCCGGGTGGCGGCGTGGGTGCCAGGAGGACGCAAGGGAGGCGGCGGAGGCGGCGGCCTCGGTCCCCGCGAGGCGGCGGAGGGGCTCGCGGGTCCCGGGCAGAATTTTTGGTGAGGACTCGGGAGTGTGGCGACCCGTCACGCCGTGGGACCTGAGGGAATGGCCACAGCCCAGCGTTTCGCGAAGGTCTACAGAGATGCGCGCTGCCCTTGGCCGAGAAAGAAGTGAGTGGCTTTTCGAGGCGGCATGGAGGATGAGCCGGAGCCGCCCTCTCGGTCGCGAACGCAGGTGACCCATTGCAGCATCCTCCCGATACCCTGTGCGCCTGCGCTTGTGTCTCCTCCGCGCCCCCTAGGCTGCGGATCGCTTTGCACCGCAGACCTCGACCACCGCCGCACTTGCGCGTCAGCTTCTGCCGCTACTTTTGCGCCTCGCAAACGCCCACCGCGTGCGCGCCCCCTCTCCGTTCCAAGCTGCAGCGCTGCGCCCCACAGCGCGCAGGCGCCGCGTCTGCCGCTCATCATTGGCTGCCAGCTCCTGGGTCGTGCCAAGCTGTACCTCGCAGGTCAGATTGTGAGACCTCTTTGTGCCTTTTGAAAAGCGCTGAATTAGCCAGGTGTAGGGGCGCGAACCTGTAATCTCAGCACTTGGGAGGCTGAGGCCAGGAGGATCGCTGTAAATTCTCGACCAGGCTGGGCCCCATAGTGACTTCAAAGGCAGCCTGAACTACACTACTTAGATCCCGTATGAAAACATCAAACCAAATGAAACAAAGCAAACAAACAAACTGCTCAATTTCAAAACCTGCTTGAGTCAGATTCTAATGAAAGATTGTGGACCCGTGTGAACTACACAGACGGAGCCACTCCGGAAAGCTTAATGAATGTGCCCAGTACACAAAACCCTTGTGCTTGAATGTACTGTTAGGTGGCTGAGCATAAGCCAGAGGAGCATAAGCCGGACCTGAGTCATTCGATCCCGCAGCCCCACCCCCACCAACTGATGCACGCATGGTCCTTTGGGCATGGTGCAGGCCAGACACACCCCAGAGGCAGTAGCTTCAGAGCACCACAGTCAGGCCATTCACCCGCTCTTGTGACTTTCCCATCCTCTCTCTTCTCCAGGCTCAACTCTGACTTGGCTTCTGCCTCGCCAGAGGAAGGTAGGCAGCCAGTGATTACCCACATGGTCCACCGCATCTCTGGACTTGCCTCAACCTGGATTGACTTCCTTCCAGTAGATGTAGGGCTCTGTGTCACCTTGCTTCTCAGGCCATATTCCCGGATCACTGTATTTAAAACAGTCCACATCTCCCTTTCCTATTTTATGCTAGCACCAGCCAACATGCTATATATTTTGCTGTTCAATTTGACATTGCCTGTCTTCCTAATGGAAGAAAAACTCCCTGGGGCCATGGGTTGTGTTTTTTGTTCAGTTGCATCCCCCACTGTCTATAATAGTAGCAGACTTATTACCAATACTAGGGAGGTAATAAATAGCTGTTCACTAGGGGCTGGGGATGTAGCTCAGTGACAGAGCACTTGCCTAGCACGTGTGAGGTCCTGGGTTTGATCCCTAGCTTAGCAAAAATAAGTAAGTAAATAAACATCTCTTCACTGAATTATTATGCACCATGACAATGTTTGAATACTTATCCTTATCAAGCATGCTAATAGGCAACAGACATGGATGGTGTCATTGAACTGAATAACTTCCTGTGGCCTTGAACACCTGTGGGCTGCTCCTGCCATACAGGCTCACTTGTTGTCAAACACTCTGTCTCTTGCTGCTTCCTCCAGAGGAGGAGTCCTGGGGCTCACCTGTGTGCAACTCTCTCGGAGTTGCCACATAGCCCACGTGCAGTCAGGTTCCCAAGCTCCTGTCTGGCTTCCTTCCATGATTCCTGGCTTAGGAGGTAGTTAGCTAGACCATATGGGAAGTGCAGATAAGCAGAGTCCGTGGCATCAATCTGCTTCCAGACCTAAGGCAAGGTGATCAGCAGAATCCTGCCCATGGAGCCTGTGCTCTTCCCTCTCGAGCATGACATCTCACCAAATAGTCAGTGCATCTGTCTGTCCTGTTAACTGTGTCTGCCCCCCAGCACCTGTCCTGGCCAGGACAAGCACTTGGTATTTAACTAATGAATGAATAAGCAGACAGGCTGTGGATTTCAGAAATTCTTCAGAAAACCTTTAACCAAACATTAAAATAATAAATCTGGCTTGCAGGAATTAAAATCTACAAAACAATTTTCCAGAACAAGGAGAAAAAATACCATAATTTTTTCTGGGGAAGGGGAGTCAATCAATATTTATGGGGAGGTCTCTTTACGTAGCTCAGGCTGGCATTGAATTCAACGTGTAGCACAAACTGGCCATGAACACAAGCAATCCTCCTGCTTCAACCTGGGATTCATGTGTGCACCACCACACCTGGCCCAAATGATTTTTTTTTTTTTAGGTCAGTTATTTTGTGAATGCTTAGGAAAACATCTGATGATGGGCTAGGGATTTAACTCAGTGGCATAAGCACCTGCCTGCATAAGTACCAAGCACTAGATCATGAGTTCAATACCTGGTACAAAAAAAAAAGAAAGAAAGAAAGAAAGAAAGCAAACATCTGATGGAAGAAGTTTATCAGTGCACTTTTTCAGAGAATGGAAAATTTTGGTACACGAGTATATTAAATTTCCAGAAAACTTTAATGAGGGCCAGGTCCCAAATGGTGGTGGAGTCAATTGCTATGTCCTGGGTTTCTCTCTGTTAGGCTGATTAGCTCAGCAGGTGGGCTGGCATAAAGCCAGGCGGACTCAGCTTCCCTTACACATTTCATGGCACTCTCTGGGGGTAGAAATTAGCATGCTGAATGTTTTCTTGAAGTCACACCATGGAGAAGAGGAGAGACCTGGGTTCATTGCGTCAGGTCCATCTCTACATTGGGACCAAGCCCTTTCCATGGAGAGGTGGTGACCATCGATAACCCTCATGTGAATCTGCTTCCAGCCGGCTATGGAAGTAAGATTGTGAACCACTGAAAAAGAAATATCAGCTAAATGGAATGGGACGTAGAGGCCTGAGGCCTCTTAGCTGAATGCCTTGGGGCTCCACAACCATCCCTAAGGGGCTGCATGGTGATACAGGGCGTCCTTGCACCAAGGGTGCCTTGCACACGTGTTCCCATCCTGCAGGTAGACACTATTAGCTCCAGGTCCAGGTGGGGAAGCAACTCCGAGAGGGGATCAGGAAAGAGCTGACACTGTGACCCAGGCACCTCTACCATCTGTGGCTGCTGGCCTCTGTCCTCTGTGTCCATCAAGTTCCCACTCATGCAGGAACACGTGGCCTTTTCTCTTAGCATCGTTGGGGAGGTTTGGTTTAGATTCCTGGAGCCCAACCAGTCTGTCTGAGAATGTTTCTTGGGGGAAGTCACTGGGACACAGAGGCGGCGCTGTACTCCACAGTGGGTTCCCAGCTCGGGGCACTGTCCTGTGGAACCACGGAGCACATGCCCACGGGCAGCCCCGCAGCGGCTCTCTACTCGGAAACATGCTGGCAGAGGTGGGGTATGGTGAGTGTGGAGGAACACCCAGATGCAGAACAGGAGGCTTGGGTTCCCTGTTATCTGCCGGCCACATGATCTGGGTAACCCTGCCCCTGTGTGCCTCAGTTTCCGTATCTGGAAAAGAAGACCTTATTGTCTGCCTCTGATCAAGCGCAATGCTGTGATTAGTAGATCCGTCCCAGAGAGGGAGGCAGAGGTCATTATTGGTTACTCTGTGCTCTCCCCTGTCTTCCCAGCTTCGGGGCAGGGTCCTGCTCCTGACCATCTGTGCGGCTGGAATCGGTGGAACTTTCCAGTTTGGCTACAACCTCTCCATCATCAATGCACCAACCTGGGTATGTACCCTCTCTGTCCATTGTCACTGTCTGAGTGGGTGCTGGGTGGGGACCAACAGCTGCCCACAGTGGGGCTTCGGCTCAGCATCTTCTCAGTAATGTTTTCTCCCATGTCCTTCTCCACGGTCCCACAGGCTCCTGCAGGTTTAAACAGAGTGCTGCGGCCTTCTCCAGTGATGACAGGGGTCACGTTTATGGCAACATAGGGGCTGTAATTGACACCCTGCGAGAACTTCCTCAAAGAACTGTTTACTTCTGTTTTGCTTTGTTTGAGATGGAGTCTCACTGTGTAGTTTAGGCTGGCCTTGAACTCACTACTAGCCTAGGCTGGCCTTCAACTCACTCTAAAATGACAATCCTCCTGCTTCAGCCTGGAGTGCTGGGATTGTAAGTGTGGCCACCACGCCTGGCTGGAACAGTTTGTTCATGGAAGATATATGGAAAAGGTATCCTGGGAAAACACAATGATGGCACCCCGGCCCCATAAAGCAAGGACAGATGAAAAAGGTTGGAAAGGGAGAGCTGCACTGGCTGCCCTGGTTTATGTCTCCATCCCACTCACCAAGCGTCTGATTGCCCACGTCAGTGAAGGCTCGCACCTGGGAGGGGTCCCTCCATGGCAGGGACATTCCACCTTGCCTCCAAAAGGCCATTTCCATCTCCAGTCCTTAAGAATATGTTTTCTTGTACTTGACAGATCTTCTTGCCCTACTGAATGATGTTAAAGAAAAAATACTCTACTAAGAAATAAGAATTGAATGATACTAGTTAAACCATGGTTGCACAGGGTGACCCCATAACAAAGGTGAGGGACCTGATCAGGTGTTGAGGGTGATCAGGTACAAAGGATGGGGATTCGAGCTAAGCCAACTTAGCAAGTGTTCCATAGAAATTATGGGGGACATTGTTTTTAAACTCAGCTGATTTTTTGACTTTCCAAAATCAAGATTAGCGAGATAACAGCCAAATTTCCCAAAGAGACCAATTTCAGTTGGCGTGATACAAAGATCTTTCTGCTTTAATCCTAACATAAAAGAAGAAACCAAAAATCAGCTGGTTTTAACCAATCAGCTATTTCCCTATTGTTCTGTGTTTCTGTTCCCATCATACAATGAAAGTAATTTTGTTTATTTACCTATTCATTTATTTATTTTGGTACTGGAAATTGAGCTCAGGATCTTGTTCTTGCCAGGCAGGTGCTGTACTGCTGAACTAAATTCCCGGCCCAAAAGTGACTCTAAAATAACAAATTTACTTTTTGTTTATTTCTGCTTTGAGTACTTCTCTTTCTATGAAACCAAGCTCTGTGGCTTGGACCATCATAATTTTTTATTTTATGGAATGAAATGTTGCCTGATTCTAGGATTCAAAATAAATCAACTAAACTTGTTAAACATTTTTTTTTAACTTTTTATCAGTACCAGGGATTGAACTCATGACCGTCTGCTTGCAAGGCAGGTGCTTATGCTGCTGAGCTAAATCCCCAGCCCCTCATTTTTTTTTTTGAGACAGGGTTTGCTATGTAGTTTAGCTCACAAAGTAGCCCAGATTGGCTTCAAATTTATGGTGATCTTCCTGCCTCTGCCTCTCAAGTGCTGCGATTACCGGCATGTGTCATCATGTCTGGCTAATGAAACTAAACTGTTTTAATTTGTTTTTTTGGTTTCGGGGATTGAACTCACAAACTCATGCTTGCCAGGCAGGTACTTAAGCCACTGAGCTAAATCCCCAGCCCTAAACTGTTTTAATTTAATTGTCCTTTGACATAGAATTCTAACTAAAATTGGACAATGCAGATGAACACAGAAGGCTAAAAGTTGAGGCCTCACTGAAAAAGAGCCCAGAAGAGCCTGATGATCGTTAAGTAGTAAATCTCTGTTAATGGCCAGTCTTGAGGGATGGAAAGTCAAGACCACGGGAGCCTGGTCCTAGTCCAACTGTGCTGACAGTTCCTCTCCAGGGAGGAATGTTGTATCTATAACCTGGAGCTAGTCAGAGTGAGGGAGAGCTGGCCAATACTTGAACCCATCGGCCTCCCTCATGTCCTGTTGGAAGGCCCAAGACTGGTATCACATCCATAACCAGGGACAAGGTGTCCCTGTCTGTACCATTCAGACTTTGTCAACCACACAGCTTCCATCTGCTCCCTTAAAAGATGTGGTTGTCTGGAAGGCGAGGCTCTGTGGAGTCTGAACTAGCTGTGTGCAGCCTTGACCTGTGACTGAGGCCATAAGCGAGTTGTGTCACCTCTCAGGACCTACTTCCCAGTGTTAGCAGCAGTCAAATTTATGTGCACCTAATAGAGTACAATTATTCTTTGGTACCATGTGAGGTGGGTTCCAGGATGCCTTGTGGATACCAAAACCTATGGTTGTTCAAGTTTCTTATGTGAAATTGAGTAGCATTTGCATATAACCTCCCTATATCCTCCTGTAGACTTTAAATAATCTCTAGATTACTTATAATACCTAGTGCAATGTAAATGCCATGAAAATAGTTGTTATATTATTTAGGGACTAGTGAGGAGAAAAATTTCTGATGGTATTCTGTACAGATACAGCTTTTTTCACGAGCATTTTTGATCTGCTCCTGGTTTACAGACACAGACCAGAGGGATGACAGTATTTTTGAGATGTACCACAGTCAGAGTTCCAAGAACACACATGGCTCACTCAAGATAAGTCAAGTGGGTTTGGATACCACATAGGATGATTCCCAAAGGATGATGTAGTTGGGCGTAGAGAACACACACAGCAAGGGAAAGTGCAGTAATGCAGATTTACCATCTCAACACCTCTCCCCCAGAAAGAGACGAGTGGGAGAAACTATGACCAAAACCAGAAGGAAGAGCCTCCTTTATGAGGAGCAGTGTCCACTGGTCAAGGGTTACGCCAGTTGGAGGTAACATCACCAGGAGGGAGCCAGGTGGAACTCCCTTGTCCCTCTGTCACCTTCTCTAAAGGTCCTGTTGGCACTTACTACTGGGCAAATCTAACTGAAAACCAGTTAGCAAGGGAACCCAGTGTCTTTGCTATTTTTCTCATTGCTGAGACAAAATACCAGACTCCCAAGAAGGAAAGGTTTATTTCAGCTCACAGTTTGTAGAGCTTTCAGTCCATATTTGGCTGGCTCCCAAGCAAGCTGGCATGGCAGAAGGGCATCACAGAGGAGACATAGTTCTTGGCAAGCAGGTAAGAGACAGCAAAGTAGCCAACAGTAGCAGCAAGCTGGCCTCTCCTTCTTATCCCATCCTGTCTTTTGGGTGATGCCATCCACACCTAAATTGGGGCTTCCCATTATTCACACCCAAAACTATGCTAAACCAATCAGTTGACTAATTCAGTAATCATGCCTTTGATCCTACCATCAAACCCTTAACCCCAGCATCACACCTCCCAGATCCAGCCACCTCCAAAACACCCGAGCTGTGACTGCATCAGGCTTTGTGGGGGCAACCAGATGCAAAGCATGACACAGTGATCTGGGCTGCACAGGTGGCTTCCGGGGGCAAAAGCAGAGTGGGAATGAGGGGTAATGGGTTTTCTCTCCTTCCTGAGACAAAATACCTGACACTCAAAATTAAGGAAGGAAGGGTTTATTTAGCTCACTGTTTGTGGAGGTTTCAGTCCATAATCAGCTGACTCCAAGGCAGGGTGGTGTGGCACAGGGGCAACAGTTCAAGGCAGAGGAAGACAGCAAATCAGCAAGAGCAGAAAGGAGAGGGGAGCAAACCTTTCTTCCTCCTTTATATTGAAAGCAAGCTCAGGATGATTACCAAGTGAGCACTCTGGTCCCCTGCTGAGTCACTTTTAGCTAAATGGCTAAACTGCTCAAATTGACACAGTGTATCCACTATTACAATCTATAACCGGTCTTTGTTACTGGTTCCTGAAATAAAGCTCCTAAAACCCTTGAAATTCCCTGAGTAAATAGGAGCATCTTTTATTTATTTATTTATTTTTTGTAATGAGTCCCTGTTGATCATACCTGAGTTTATGCTAATGACATAACTTTGGATAGCTAATGACATAGCTTCAGATAGATCACCAGAAAGCTCAAGTGACCAGAGGGCTAGAACTTTCATCCCCACTCCCTGACCTCTGGAAAGGGGAGAAACCTGAAGATTAAACTCTATAAAAACTTTTTTTTTTGGAGACAGAGTCTCATTTTGTAGTACATGCTGGCCTTGAATTCACTATGTAGCCGAGGCTGGCCTCAAACTCATGGCAATCCTCCTGCCTCTGCCTCTCACATTCTGGGATTTACAGGCATGTGCTACCATTCTGTTTCTATAAAAACTCTTGAATGATGAAATATGATGAATTCCAGTTTTGAGAGTACATCGAAATGCTGGGAAGATGGTATGCCCTGAGAGGACGTGGGGGTCCCCCCCCATTGTCCTCTGCAACTTTACCATCAGATTATTTCTGGGTTTTATCTACTATAATAAGCCAGTAAATGTAAAGAAACTGCATTTCTAAGTTTTGTGAGCTATTCAAGCAAGCTATTGAACCTGAGGAGGGGATTGTAAATTTTATAGCTGGTCCATAGACTACAGAAGCCTGGGTTTGCAATTTTCATCTGAAGAGAGGGCGGTCATATGCACTGAGCTCTTTGACTTGTAGAATTTGATGATAAGGCCAGATAGTGCTTGAATCGTATTAGATTCGTATACCTAACTGGTATCTGGAGAACTGGAGAAATACTTAGCGTGGAAAACACACACAATATTGCTGACTACGTGTGTGTGTGTGCCTGTGTATAGAAACAGTGTAATCCTAGAGACAGGGAAATAGAGAACTCCAGCTCTAGGCTACAGGAGATACAGAATGTGAAGGAAACCAGCACATGTGAGGTCAGGTGAGTTTCTTCCTGCCCCAGGGGAGCAGCATTGCTCAGGACACTTGGGGCCTGCTCTGCAGGGCACAGCACCACGGGGGCTGAGCTCCTCTACCCTTATCCACAGACGGCTAACTGACATCTCTGTTCCTAGCACATTCAGGAATTCATCAATGAAACCTGGCAGGCACGTACTGGAGGGCCACTTCCTGACCACCTGATGCTGCTTGTGTGGTCCTTCGTCGTGTCTTTTTTCCCCCTGGGGGGCATCTGTGGAGCACTGCTTGCAGGCCCCATGGCCATCACACTGGGAAGGTAAGTGCTTTCTCTGTACCCCCTGAATGCCTTTGGTGAGAAGCACCACAGTCTACAGACTGAGGAATGTGGGAGAATGAAGATGCCCAGCAGACTCTGGATCAGTCTAGTGTAGCTTCTCAGCAAGCCTTTCACAGTAGCTGTAGTTTGACCTTGCGAGTCATATTTTTCAGAGAGATTTGGTAGTGAAAAAGTTCTGTGCATTGAGGGAAGAAAGATTCCTGCTCACAGTGGGTGTAATTTGATCACCTTTTCTTTTCTTTTCTTTCCTTCCTTTTTTCTTTTTAAACACAGGGCCTTGCCATGTAGTCCAGGCTGACTCTGAACTCACTTTGTAGCTCAGGGTAACCTTGAACTCGTAGCAATCCTTATGCTTTAACCTCCCAAGTGCTGAGATTACAGGTGTGTACTACCATGCCCAGCTGCTGTTTGATCTTCTCTGGGGTTTCATTTTGCCCATGTATATCTGAGGTAGTTCTTTTTACTCCAGTACGTGGGATTTAACACAGAACCTTCACACTGAGCTGCATTCTCAGCCCATTTTGTTTTTTATTTTGAGAGACAGTTTCACCAAGTAACTAAGTTGCACAGGCTGGGCTCAAATTTCTCGTTCCCTGCCTCAGAATTCAGTGGGATTACAGGCATGAACCACCACCTCTGGTACTAATGCTGTTCTTAGGTTGCAAATAAACCCAATCTGACTTGAACTAACCTAATTTTTAATTTATTTTATTTATTTTTGGTACTGGGGATTGAACTCACGACCTCGTGCTTGCCAGGCAGGCACTTATGCCACTGAGCTAAATCCCCGGTGAACTAACCTAACTTTAAAAATGTAGTAACTAGAAGGATACTGAGGTAGCTCATAGAATGGAAAGAAGGGCTTAAATCCAAGCCTCAAGAAGGGCGTGGGCCTGGGAGTGGTGGCACACACTGATAAACCCAGCATTTGGGAGGCTGAGACAGGGAGATTGCTGCAAATTCAGGACAAGACTAAAAACATAGCTAGACCCTGTCTCAAAAAATTTTTTTAGTTAAAAAAAAGAAGATGATGAAGGAGGAGAAGTAAGAGAAGAAAGAGAAGGAGGATGAGGATATGGACCAAAGTAGTTTCAAGGTTCTCAGTGGCCAGAGCTTTGGACTTTCTTTCTAGGAGGAATGATTTATTACGCTCAGCTCTACCCATGTTCAGTTAGTAATATCTTCATTCATGATTCAGCATCTGAGATCACATGACTACATCTGGACAGCAGTGGAAAAAAGGCCATTGGAGCACAAAAAACAAAGGGCTACCACAATCCACCCCTTTTCGAGGTACCAGCGACGTAGACATCTTTCTCCTGTTCCTAACAGTACTTAGTTCCCTTATGTACACCAGCATCCACTTGGCCTCTTCCTAAGTGATACTACTTGGAGGAGTCACAGACACCAGGCCAGTGTAATAGAGGTATTTGGAGCCTGGGAGGGCAATATGATCACTATTTCTGTCAGCCCTGAAATTAGGATGTCTTGATATTCTATACCTAATGGTAAATTTAACTGCAGTAACCCCCTTTATCTGTAGGACATCTATTCCAAGACCCCCGTGGATACCTGAAATCACAAACAGTACCAAGCCCTATATATACAATGTTTGCCTGTACACATGATAAAGTTTAACTTGTAAATTAGGTACAGTGAGACTGGGGACATAGCTCAGTGGTGCAGCTTCTGCCTGGCAAGCACAAGGTCCTGAGTTCCATTCCCAGTACAAGGAAAAATTAGGTACAATAAAAGATGGATTGAACAATTATGACAATGTACTATAATGAGAGTTCTTTAAAATTTATAATTTATTTCTAAAATATTTTCACTTAATATTTTTGGGCCATAATTGACTGGAACTGGAAAGCAAAATTGTGGATAAAGAGGGACTTTCGTTCCATTCACCATACAGGAGAAGGAAACAGGAAGAGTAAACTAATCAAGGGAAAGGGAGGTAGAAGGTGACTATTTTAAGGTACGTGATGCAGAAATCCGTAAAATACAGGCAAAGTTTCCATCCTTTTCACAGTCAGTCACAAGGCTGTTGCTTAAACTGTGACTTTCATTCTCAAATTTTCTACTCTTGTCTTGGGCAGAGCTTCAACTGTTAAGGCTCTTTGCTCATCACGGTGACCCAAAGCCTCATTTTTTTCTTCAATCCTAGGGATTGAGCCAAGGCCACGCACACGCTAAGTAAATACTGTACCACTAACATGTATCCTCAGCCTGCCTATCTATCTATCTATCTATCTATCTATCTATCTATCTATCTATCTAAATTTTGAGACAGAGTCTCAATAAGTTACCCAGGCTGACTTTGGATCAACACTTCAAGAACCTGTATTCTGGGGCCAGGGGTTTAGCTCAGCGGTGTAAATGCCTGCTTGGCAAACGCAAGGTCAGGAGTTCGATTCCCGGCACCAAAAAGAATGTGTAGTCTAATAAGATGAAAAAGCCAAAGAAATGAACAGATTCCTAGATAGCAATTCAACCTAATACTGCCAACTTCTCAAACTCTTTAATGAAATTGAAAGAGGAACTATACTCCTAAGTTCATTCCTGGAAGCAAGCATCACCCTGATACCAAAGCCAGAGAAGAATCCAGTCAAAAAAGAGAACTTCAGGCCAATCTCCCTAACGAACATAGACACAAAATTCCTCAGTAAGAAACTGGTGAAGAAAATGCAGCAAATCATCAAGAAGATTATACACCATGACCAAGTAGGATTCACCCCAGGATACAGGGTGCTTCAACATATGCTAATCAGTAAGAATTAGCAGGCTTTGATGGGAATGCCTGTAGTCCCAGCACTCAGAAGGCCGAGGCAAGAGGATGGCTGTGAGTTCAAGGCCAACCTTGACTACTAGTGAATTCAAGTTCAGCACGAACTGCATAGCAAGACCCTGTCTCAAAAAACAAAACAAAACACAGATAATACACTACATTAATGGAGCCAAGGACAAAAACCATATAATCCCCCCCCCTCTGAGATAGGGTCACACTATGTAGTCCAGGCTTGCCTCGAACTCACAGTGCCTCGAACTCCTAGCTCAGCTTCCTAAGTGCTAGGAATGATCATCTCAATAGAGGCAGAAAAAGCATTTGACAAAGTCCAACAACCATTCATGATATACACCCTACAAAAAATTGGAATAGATGATCTTTATCTCAATCTAATAAAAGTCATCTATGACAAACCAACAACCAGCATCATACTAAATGGACAAAACTGAAAGCTTTTGCTCTAAAATCAGAAACAAGACAAGAATATCCAGTATCCTACTCCTGTTCAATCCAGTTATGAAAACAGCCAGAGCAATCAGACAAAAGAAAAATAAAAATAGGAAAGGAAGACATTAAATTATCATTATTTGCAAATGATATAATGCTCTACATAGAAGACACCAAAAACTCCACCAAGGCTTCTAGATATAACCAAATTCAAGGGCTGGGGATTTAGCTCAGCAGCATAAGCATCTCCTGGCAAGCATGAGGTCGTTGAGTTTGATCCCCAGTACCAAAAATAATACCAATAATAATAACCAAACTCAATAGTGTAGCTGGATGCAAAGTCAGCTCTCAAAAAGCAATACCATTCCTGTACACAAACAACAAACTCACTGAGATAGAAGTTAAGGATACACTTTTCACAATAGCATTCAAAAAATGAAATACCTTGGAATCAATCTAATGAAGTAAAAGACCTTTACGTTGAAAACTACGGTATTCTGATAAAGGAGATTGAAAAGGATATGAGAAAATGGAAAGATATTCCTTGTTCTTGGGTAGGAAGAACCAATATCATGAAAACAGCCATACTACCAAAATTGTTATACAGATTTAATGCAATCCTGATCAAAATACCAATAATATATCTCACAGAAATAGAGAAATTTTCCTAAAATTCATCTGGAACCAGAAGAGACTTACAATATCAAAGGCAATTCTGGGCAACAAAGGAAAGGCAGGGGACATCACAGTCCCTGACCTGAAATTATACTGTAAAGCTACTGTGATAAAAACAGCATGGTAAGCTGGGCATGATGGCGCACAATGAGAACTTGTCTCAAAAACACAAAAAAATTCCAGCATGGTACTAGCAAAAAAGAAACAAAAACTCAAGGACCAGTAGAACAGATTGGAAACAACCCCAAACATACCCAGCCATGTTATCTTTGAAAAAGAAGTCAAACACCTTCACTGGAAGAAAGCCTCTTTAATAAATGATACTGTCAAAACTGACTTTCCACATGTTGAGGATTAAAACTAGACCCATATCTTTAGTTTAATGCTAAACTAAAATAAAAATGGATCAAAGATTTAAATATTAGGGGTTGGGGATTTAGCTCAGCACCATAAGCACCTGCCTTGCAAGCAGGCAGTCGTGAGTTTGATCCCCGGTACCGATAAAAAAAAAAAGATATAAATATTAAAAGAGAAGCTGGGCATGGTGGCTCATGCCTGTAATCCCAGCACACGGGAGGCTGAGGCAGGAGGACTGTTGGGAGTTCAGGCCAGCCTGGGCTACAAAGTGAGCCCAAGGCTAGCCTGAACTATATAATGAGACCCTGTCTCACAAAGACAAAGAAAAAATATTAAAAGAGAAACACTAAATCTGCTGGAAGATATAAGAGGTAGAATCTTGAAGACACTGGTGTAGGCAAAGACTTTATGAACAAAACCCCAATTCTACAGGAAAAATCACAAAGAATAAACAACTGTGGGTTTTTGAGACAATGTCTCACTGTATAGTGCATGCTGGTATTGAACTCACTCGTGTAGCCCAGCCTGGCCTGAAACCAATGGTTATCAGCTGGGTTTTCATTTTGTTGAAAAGCATTTCTACAGTAAAAGAATCCACCAACAAAATAAAGAGACAGCCCAGTGTGGGAAAAATGCTTGCCAGTTGTTTCCCAGAGAACTACTACCTAGAATATATAAAGAATTAAAAAAATAAGACTGCCCAAACTTAAAGATCCAGCCCAAAAATTGGAATCTGAAATGAACAGACACTTCCCAGATGAAGAAACAGAAATGGCAAATAAATATATGAAAAAAGTTCAACATCACTGGTCATTGGAGAGATACAAATTAAAATGTCACTGAAATCCTATATCACGCTAGAAAGAATGGCTATTCTTGCCAGGCATGGTGGCACACACCTCTAGTCCCAGCACTAGGGAGGCTGAGGCAGGAGGATTGTTTGACTTAAGGCCAGTCTGGGTTACTTAGTACATTCAAAGCCAGCCTCCACTACACGACGAGACCCTGTCTCAAAAACAAAACACAATGAAACAAAACACCCTGTTTTTTGAAAATAAAGTTTTATTGGAAAAAAAATGAAATGTACTAAAGTATATTACTGGGCTGGGGATATAGCTTAGTGGCACAGGTACCTGCTGGGCAAGTGCGAGGCTTTGAGTTTGATCCCCACTACCAAAAATAAATAAAAAATAATAAATAAATAAATAAATAAACATTACTGCCCCTGGCAGGTGAAAGCTAAGTGTTTCTAGTATTGTCTGTGTCTGGAAATGGAACAAATGTATTCACCCCAGCACCAAGTACTTAGTTGTTATTATTATGTTAATTATAATATTATTATACTTATTTAATGGAATTTATTATTTCCAGTGAGGAAACCATATATCGTTAATTATTAATTACAGTTGGAGTTACCACGAATCCAGCTTGCTGGATAATCCGTGATCTTTCATCCTCTAGACACGGGAGACCTAAGGTTGGGCTCAAACGCGATCACCAATGTGCTGTTGACTTTGGGTAAAACACCAGCCTCTCTGGTCTTCCGTTCTCCTATCAGTACAGTGACAGCCTCTAGTAAGCTCTCCTACGTGGTCAGTATCAGGAGCCCAAACTCTCACGGTGGGGGCAGGTGGCATTCCCAGGGTCCTCTTCTCGGTGTGGAGTCTTGTTCTCACTGGCCAAGGCCGTCCCGAAGGTCCTGGGCAGTGTCTGTGCGTACGGTGGAGCGAATGTACCGGGCTTTTATGCACCACTTCCTCATCTGCTTTTCCTCCCTCGGGTTTTATGACGTCTGAGAAGTTACGTGTTTTTCCTTTCATTTTATGTAGGAGTTTGGGGAGAACAATCCTTAATCTCAACCGGAAAGGCATAAAGTACGCATGCTGTCATTCTGAGCTGCCGTGCAGGCAGGAAGAGTGATTTGTGGAAGGGTTGGGGTAGGAATGAGGGGATGCAGCCCAGGCCCTGCACAGGCCAGCCCAGGTATAGCGGCTTGTAGCTATTTCAGCTCATAGAGCTTATTCCTCTTTAGGATATGTATATATATATTTTTTGGTATCAGAAATCAAACTTAGGACCTTGCCCACTGCCTATACCCCCAGCCCCAATGTATAGCTGATTCTTTTTTTTTCTTTTTCTTTCTTTTTTTTTTGTCTTTTTGAGACAGGGTCTCGCCATGCAGTTCACGCTGGCCTTGAGCTCACTTTGTAGCCCAGGCTGGTCTCGAACTTGCAATGATCCTCCTGCTTTAGCTTCCCCAGTGCTGGGATTACAGGCATGAGCCACCACATCTGGCCGTATATCTGATTCTTGAAACAGATCTGTCTGTCTCTCTCTTTCTTTCTCTCTGTCATATTCTCTGCCTCTGTCTCTGTCTCTGTCTCTCTGTCTGTCTCTGTCTCTGTCTCTCTCACACACACACAGAGTCTGCGTGTCGATCAGGACTAGTCAGGATTGCTGAGGGTCCCCCGGAGATGGTCCCTCTGAACCATCTCCAGCTTCTCTTACCTGTTTTCCGCTTCCTCCAAGGAAAAAGTCCCTCCTGGTGAATAACATCTTTGTAGTGGTGGCAGCCATCATGTTTGGATTTAGCCGCAAAGCAGGCTCCTTTGAGATGATCCTGCTGGGAAGACTGCTCGTGGGCATCAGTGCAGGTATGGGTTGAGGAGGAATCTCATCCAGCCTACTGCTGCTCATTAATGCTCCTCCCTCCCCCTCCCTCCTTCCCTCCCTCCCTTCCTTCCTTCCGTCTTTTCTTCCTTCTCTTATTGACTTATCTTTCATTCATGTCTGCTTGTTTTCCAAAATGGTTAAATATTTACAGTAAGTATTGAAAACATTGTTCAAGACAAGAGAAAACATCCCTAAATGTCCTTAACAGTAAAGCCTGGGTTTGAGCAACACTCTAATAATGAGATTCCTGGTGGCCAAGGTGTAAAGGGACATAGCACGAGTTCTTTGGTTTTTCCTGCAGAGACAGAATAGCATGTTAGGGATTCCTCGGTTTCCAGGGTTTGTCATGAAAGAGAGCAGAATTTTGGGTATTTTTATCTGAGCTTTTAGGTGCTGCAATCCATATCATATCTTGACTGTTTACTGTTTACGCAGCCAGGTATTGATGTCTATGTTAGTTACCTTTTCCTACAAAACAGGTATCTTCAAATGTGCTGGCTTAAAACACCCAACTTTTATAATCTGCAGTTTCCGTGGGTCAGGAACCAGGAAATGCCTTAGTGGAGTGGCTCAGGGTTAGGGTCTCCCTAAGGTTGTGCTCAGGCTGTCAGCCCAGGGCTGCTGCCACCTAAAGGCTTGCCTGGGCCTGAAAGGGCTGCTTCCCGGTGGCTCTCTTATCTGTCCACGCTCCTCACCGTCCATGGGCTGCCTTAGTGTCCTCTCAGCTTGACAAGTGGCTTCTCCGGAGTGACTGTGTGTGTGTTGGGGGAGGGGCGTCTAGTGTTTTTGTGTCCCCGTTCCAGAAGTCATGGACCGTTTTCCCCAAATTCTATTCATGGAAAGTGAGTCACTGTGAACGACACACACACTGGTGGAAAAGAACCAGGTCAGACTGTTGTGCCCTGTGTACCCAGTAAAGAACAGGAAAAACAGGGGGTACCCTGAGACTCCTCAAAACACATCTGCCTTCCTTACACCTCTCTCTGCCAAAGCCTGTTGTGTAGAGAGATGGGCTGATACTGGACAGAGGGTCTTGGGAAGTTGTTTCTAGGTTCTTGGTATCCCAAAGAATCGAGCCAGACATCAAAAAGAATAAAAGAGTAAGATTTGTTCAGAGTGAAAGAAGCCAAGCACACTCCACAGGGTGGGACTGGCTCAGTAAGAAGAGCTCACAGCCCCCATGGGGGCCGCTACCGGGTCTCTTCAGGTCCTAGCATCACAGGAAGGTCTGTACCTGGGGGCTGACCAGAGTCCTGGCCCATACCTGACGCAGCCCCTGCATCAGAAGGGAAGCCTTTGAACACACAAGGTTTCTAGAGGAAGTGTCAAGGCATCCAGAGCCTCCTGGGATAAGGCTGGGGGATTTGTACTTTTGGTTTTGTGCATGGGATGCAGGGGGAGGGGAGGGCTTGGGAAGTAGGGTAGAGTGAAGTTTATTTATTTTTATTTTTAAAATCTTACTCATTTTGGAGCCAAGCTCTCACTATGTAGTTCAGGCTGGCCTTGAACTCATTATGTTACTCCGGGAGGTCTTGAACTGCAAACCTCTCGCCTCAGCCTCCCGAGTGCTGGGATTACAGGTGTGCGCCACCACACCCAGCTTTTATTGGTTTTGTGATATCTTGACACGATGATCGTTCTTACTCTGTCTGTTGTCCTGATCTTTTGCCGCATGGCTTCCTGCTGTTTGTCCTTGCCCTGGGTCCTCTCTGAGGGTGATACAGTGATGGGGGACTCTGAGGCCTGGGAGGGGATGGAGCTGTACTTCCTGCCGTATTCCCAGGTGGACAGTGCCCGGCCTGTGCCTCCTACTGTTGCCATTTGGTACCAACTGGAGCGAGCAGTGGGGCACCATGAGTTCTCTGTATGTCTTCCCACTAACTGCGTGGGTACCAGCTGTGTCCCGTGGGGAGCAGGGATGAGCTGAGGACCCAGAACTAAGTGGGGGATGAAGGAGTTGCTGAGATCGGGGGCGGCTGCTGGGCACCCAGGGTCCTGCCTTTCTTCTCCCACGCCTGCAGCCTCTAGGACTGTTTACTCAGCTTTCTGTCTTATTATTGGAAATACTGGAAAGTAAAAAAGGTTTGTTTTGGCTCCTGGCTCTGGGGCTGTGGACCTAGGTGAAGTGACTTCTTTGCTTTAGACTTCTGGTGAGGACAGCACATCACATATGCATGTGTGGTGTAACAAACTACTGGCCTCATGAGCCAGGAGGCACAGAGGAAAAGGTAGAGACTGGGGCCCCACAGTCCCCTTTAAACCCACGCCCCATGACCTGAGGACCTGCTACGAGGCCCTGGGGACCAGGCTTTAGCACACAGACTTCTGGGGACATTCGGCACTCAAACCATTGCAAAGTCACACCTAGAAAGTTTCCAGGACCATGTGGGGCTGTGGTGAGGGACCAGGTTGGGAGCTGAAATGGAAGACTTATCTCCTCCCAGAAGCCCTGGGGATGGAGTGGGAGGTCCTGGGAGCTCTGTAACAGGTGAGGCGGAGCCCATTAGAGTATAGAGGAGGAGTATGGGAGTGCACAGTGGCTCTTGGTGCCAGGATCTAGTGGGCAAGGGACTGGGTGGTACCTACGAGGGGGAAAACAGTCTGGCATCACAGGTTTGTGGGGCCTCCTGGTAGCTGATGGGCTCCTGCCGTGCACCCCTTCAGGTGTGAGCATGAACATCCAGCCCATGTACCTGGGGGAGAGCGCCCCCAAGGAGCTCCGAGGAGCCGTGGCCATGACCTCAGCCATCTTCACAGCCCTGGGGATCATGATGGGACAGATAGTGGGACTCAGGTGAGGCCCCCCGACGCCCCCACATTGAGTGGCTTCAGGGAGGCTAGGAAAAACCTTTCCTTAGCCAAATTTCCCCCCTCCCTGCCATGTAAATTAAGGCACTGGTTTGGTTTTTTTTCGTTCGTTTGTTTGTTTGCATGAAACCATCAAAATTCTGCCCTCATCCACAAAAAGCCAGCCAAGCTTTTGTGTGGGTCACCCTTTTCCCATCCTCCTCAGGTCAGGTAACAAAGAACAGGCCTTGACAGATTTGGGATTTTTAAGGGGACTCACCCCCTGGTCATCCCAGAAAGAAAAGAGGAACACATGGAGTTTAGACCCCTGAGGAGAAGAGGGGCTGGGGATCAGGGAGGCGGGCAGGGGCGTGCCTACCCTCTCTTGACTCCTTCTGGGTGGGAAGGGGCTGGATAGGAGGAGGCACAGGCAATGTGACTGAGTAGGCAGGTTAGCAGGTAGGCAGGGGGGTAGGGAGGAGGGGAGACAGGGCTGTGCCAAGGAGCCGCCTAGCCTGGCCTGCCCTCTGCCTCCCCAGGGAGCTCCTAGGTGGCCCACAGGCCTGGCCCCTGCTGCTGGCCACCTGCCTGGTGCCTGGGGTGCTCCAGCTTGCCTCCCTGCCCCTGCTCCCTGAGAGCCCGCGCTACCTCCTCATTGACCGTGGAGACACCAAAGCTTGTGTGACAGGTGAGTCCCTACCCTTGGGCCCCCAGGCCACCCTTGACCCAGAGGTGCATCTCATCTGCTCCTTCCTTTTAGGAAATCTAAGGTGGTGCATAAGTGCAGGTGCGCGTACACACACACACACACACACACACACACACACACCTCTGTGCAGGGCCAAGTGGATGATGATGTATTGTCAGTCACTATGGCTATAATTAGGACACCCAAGGAGCAATCACACAAAAAAATCTCTGACTTAAAGTGACAATCATTTACCACACTTTTTACTCATTTACTGAGTTAGTTGTTCAGCTCTGCTGACCTCAGCTCGCCCAGCCTGGGGCATTGATGGGGTATCATGGCCAGTCTAGGCTAGCCTGGGCTGGGGCACTTCTGCTCTGCACGTGTCCTTTACTCCCGGCACCAAGGGGCTGGGCTAAGAATGTTCTTAGTATAGGGCTGGCAGGTACAAGAGAGCAAACCCCATTGCACATGCACTTCCCAAACCTTAGGACCCCATGCCCATTAACATTCCGTTGGCCAAAGGGAACCCGGCAGCTAAATCCAAAGCCAAGGGATGGGCAAATTGATGGCTTTTCCTGTCCCTTGGCAGGGGGAGTGGATGTAGGGAAGGTGAGGACTAGGTTCCTGCTGTACTCCTGTCTGTTTCCTGTCACAGCCACTATGTTCTCCTTTGACCCAGGGATCTTACTATGTTTGCTCAAACTGTTTCCAACTCCTGAGCTCAAACAATCCTCCCGGCTCAGCCTCCTAAGTAGCTGGGACTATAGGCACGTGCCACCAGGCCTGGGTATGGCCACAATTGCTATGTTTTCTCTGCCTTGTGCAAAATATATTCAACTCCACCCCTGGGGTCTGCAAAGTCTCATCCAATCGTGGTATCAGGGTTGAAGTCCCGAATCTTAAAACCACATTAAGTCCAAAGGTGGTCTTTTCTGTGACCCAGAGAGCTAAGTTCTAAGAAGACAAGTTTTCATCCCCCACCACACTCAGCATACAAGAAAATGGTACAAAGGAGCCAGAATTAATCTCTGATTTTATGGAGTCAGAGATTTAGCTCAGTGGCATAAGCGCCTGCCTGGCAAGCGTGAGATTGCCAAGATCGACCCCTGGTACAAAACAAACAAACAAACAAACAAACATCTGATTTCAAAAGCAAGGAGTCTTCAGAAGGTACTGGAGTGCCCCTAGGAACATGCTGCCAGGTCTCCCCTCCTGGGGGACAGGAAGGCTCCTTGATCCAGTCCTGGTTCTGCCCCCTGGGAGGGGCTCCAGGCCCTGGTGCTCTCAGGTGCTCCAGGCGGCCTCCTTGACACTTTCTGAGGAGAGCTTTGGAAAAGCACTCGCTGTTTTTGGTTTGGTGTCTGAGTGTTTCTCAGCCTTCTCTCTCTCTCTCTCTCTCTCTCTCTCTCTCTCTCTCTCTCTCTCTGCGTGCACGTTTGTGTGTGTGTGTGTGTGTGTGTGTGTGTGTGTGTTCAGGACTGGAAAATGAACCCAGGGCCTCTAAAACCTAGGCAAGTCCCATACCACTGGCCCATGCCCAGAGCCTGATTTCCCCTGTATTCAATAGGATCCCAGAGTGGGGAGGGGGAGGGAGAGGATTCCTTCCCCTGGGGACCAAAGAGTGGATGAGGGAACAGGAGCTCAGTATCCCCTCTTCTGACCCCAGCCCTGCAGCAGCTTCGAGGCCACAGGGATGTGGCCTGGGAGCTGGAGGAGATAGAGAAAGAGCGAGTTGCCTGCCAGGGCCATCGTTCTAGGCGCCCATGGGAGCTGTTCCAGGATCCTGCCCTGCGGAGGCAGGGGATCACCCTGGTGGTCCTGAGCAGTGCCATGGAGCTCTGTGGGAACGACTCGGTGAGGCCCTGCTCTGCCCTATGCCTTGGGCCCGGGGTCCTGCAGTGCGCAGGTGGGAGCTGTGGGAGGTTGAATGGAGCCATGATCCCAAAGCTGCTCCTCCACCCACCCCCCTCCAGGTGTACGCCTATGCCTCTTCCATATTCCTGGAGGCTGGAGTACCAGAGGACAAGGTCCAGTATGCCATCATCGGAACTGGGAGCTGCGAGCTGTTTGCAGTTCTTATTAGTGTGAGTCTGGGCCCACTCTCCACCAGCCCTACAGAAGGAGGGCCCAGGGGACTGCAGTCCCGGAAGCACCAACAAATGGTGCTCAAGGTCCGGGTGCTTCCGGGACTGCAGTCCCCTGCATTAAGCCATTTTCCACTTCTGCTCAGTCTAGAGCTGCAGTGAGTCTTTACTATGTTTGCTGGTGCTGTCTCCTGCCAGCTTCCATGATACCCCCCTCTGTTGCCTGCCCCCAACCAAAGTCCAGTGTGTGGGTCATTCTGAGTGGGTCCTTTCTTTTGCAGTGTGTGGTGACCGAGAAGGTAGGAAGGCGGGTGCTGCTGATAGGGGGGTACAGCATGATGACCTGCTGGGGAAGCATCTTCACAGTGGCCCTGAGCCTGCAGGTAGCTGGGGGAACAGGGCGGTGGCCGGGTCAGGTCTGTTTTCCACCTCACCGTCCACCCTGTCCACTGCAGAGCTCCTTCCACTGGATGCCCTACCTGGCCATGTCCTGCACCTTTGCCTTCATCCTCAGCTTTGGCATTGGCCCTGGTGAGTGAGCCCAAGGGCTTCTGGACGTTAGGCCTTGCTGAATGAATCCCCCAGAGATGTCTGGGGGACTGATGGGTGAGTGTAGATGAAATGTCACCTGCAGCCCCTGGGGCCTATTTGTGCCAAGGCTTGTGGGAGAGAATGACCAGAGGAGAGTACGCTGGGACCCTCTTGCAGACCAGGCCCTGGTGAGGGACAGGCAGAGCAGGGAAGGTAGGCCGCCAGCTCCATCACCTCTTTTTGCAGCCGGAGTGACAGGGATCCTGGCTACAGAGCTGTTTGACCAGACAGCCCGGCCCGCTGCCTACATGGTCTGTGGGATGCTCATGTGGACCATGCTCTTCCTGCTCTGGCTGGGGTTCCCCTTCATGCTGGTAGGTCTGCCCTTCCCCTTATGGTGGGGGGCCCACTTCAGATTTTATCCCTGTCATTGTGAGCACCCCAGTGGGAGTCCTCAATCCAGGCAGACTGAGGCTGTAAGGGGAGGGGTCCCTGTGAGCAAAGGGGCAAAGACATTCCTGTTGTGGGCCTTCTGTTGAGGCCTGAGGGAGACCACACCAGTCTTTTTGTTTGTTTGTTGTTTGTCATTTTCCTTTTTATCGGGACCAGGGATCGAACTCACGACTGCCTGCTTGCAAGGCAGGTGCTTATGCCGCTGAGCTAAATCCCCAGCCCCAACCACACCACTCTTGAGGTCTCTTTTAACCCACAGGCGAGTTTGTCCCACCTGCTGTATATTCCTTTCATCTGTGTCTGTATCTGTGCTGCCATCTACACTGGCTTATTCCTCCCTGAGACCAAAGGCAAGACCTTTCTGGAGATCTCCAAGGAACTGCAGAGACGCAGCTCATCCAGGCAGGAACAGGGCCCCACGCGGACCGGATCTGAGGTCATCATGTCCACGGAGTTCTAGCTGCAAAGGTATGGTGGGTGGGCCAGCGCCAATTGCTGCCCTTTCCTCTGCTTCCTCCACTCACTGACTCCTACTTGTTTTTTGTTTTCTTGTTTTGAGACAGGGTCTTGCTCTGTAGTTCAGTCTGGCCTTGAACGCACTTTGGAGCCCAAATTGACCTTAAACTCCCTATGATCCTCTTGCTTCAGCCCTTAAGGTCTGGGATTACAGGCATGTGCTACAACATCCTGGCCAGAACATCTTGTCTGAATAGTTGTAATCTTAAAGATGCAAAAGATAAATTTATTATAAAAATCTGTGTATATATGCTAAGGGTGAAAAGCATGAGATATGGATACAATGCAAAGAACTCTTTTTTTGTTGTTGTTAGCACTGTGTTAAATTGATTTTCCTTGGCTGTGAAAAATACCTGAGATATATGAACTTAAACAGAAGAATGGTTTATTTTGGCTCAGGGCTTCAGCAGGTCAGTCCATGGTCACCTGGTTTCATTGCCTTTAAGTCTATAGTGGCACAGTGCATAATGGAAGGACGTGCACATAGTGCAGGAGTTGCCCACCTCAAGGGAGCCAAGAGAGAGAGGGAGAGAGAGAGTGTGCACCAGGGGCACCAATGCACCCTTTAAAGGCTCTCCTGCAATGCTTTAATGTTGTCCCACAAGGCTCCACCTTTTAAAGGTTCCACAATCTCTAATAGTACCAGTGGGTTGAGGACCATCCTTTAACAGAGGGCTCTTGGGAGGATATTTACCCAAACCATAGCAGGCCTTTATTTTTATTATTTATTTATTGCAGTCCTGGGAGTGGAACCCAGGACCTTTCTACTGAGCTACATCCTCAGTCCTTTGTAAATGAATTTTTTGAGGCAGGGTCTTTCTACATTGCCTGGGCCAGGTTAAAACTTGCAGTCTTCCTGCCTTGGTCTCCTGTACTGCTGAGATTACAAGTATGTTCCACTATTCCCAGGTTATGGGTGGCCTTAAGAAGCTACTTATCTCAGGTAGACACGAACACTACTCTGCATAACTTCTGGACTCTGATTTTTGTCTGCATTTAACAATAATGATTTTATCTGGGTGTCATCAACTTTCACATGAGGATTAAATTTCAAAGTATGAATTTGGAGGAGGATAGCCATAAACCTTCAACCTATACATTTTTTTGTTAAGTGATTTGTTGGGCTTAACAATAAATGTACATTTGACTATATAAGAAATCTGTTTTCCAGTGCATACAATATTTTACACTTCTACCAACATTGAGAGTCCCAGATATCCCAACTCTTCATCAACACTTGATGTTGTCCATCTTTAATTTAGCCTAAAGTCCGTAGTAGTTTCTCATTATTTTCATTGTGGTACTTCTGTCATGACGAATAATGTTAAACATCTTTTTATGTGCTCAGTGTGGCCATTCATATGTCCACTTTTGTGAAGAATTTGTTTGCTTCTTTTTTCCACTATTTTTGTTCAATGGTTTTGTTTTGTTTTGTTTTTGAGGCAAGGTCTCACTACATAGTGGAGGCTGACCTTGAACTGAATTATGTAGCCCAAGCTGGCCTCAAATTCCTGGCAATCCTCCTGCCTCAGCCTCCTGAGATCTGGGATTATAGGCATGAGCCACCACACCTGGCTTATTGTTTTTGAATTATAGGCATTCTTTTTTATATTTTGGGTACCAGCTCTTTGTTAGAATATGCATTGTAAATATTTTGTTTCAGTCACAATTTGCCTTTTTCATTTTCTTATTAGTATTTTATTAAAACTAGAAATATTTATTTTGATAAAGTTTATCAATTGTTTTTTATGATTCATGCTTTTTCTGCCCAAGACATTTTTGTCTATCTTGGACAAAAGATTTTCTTCTAAATGCAAAGATTTTCTTCCAAATACTTGATAGATTTATTTATTGATTTGGGATTTTGTTTTGTTTCTGTTTGTTGAGACAGGATTTCAGTATGTAATGCAGGCTGCCCTTGAACTCACTTAGGTAGCAAAGCTTCCCTCAAACACAGCAATCCTTCTGCCTCAGCCTCCCAAATGCTGGGATTATAGGCATGCGCCATCGCACCTGGCTGATAGTTTTAGGTTTAACCTGGAAGATAGGAGGAACAGTGCTAATATGTGGAGGGAGAGGACAGGAGTCTGGCCTGGAAGCTGACCTGTACCTATCGCTGGGTTATAGGGACAGGTTCTTTGATTCTTGTGCATATGAGCATAAATGTGCAGCCTGTGTATCTGGAGGGTGCCCAAAAGTGCTCCTCTGAAAGGATGGCCATGCTCCCAGCATCAGACCATCTGCCCAGGTCCCAGGCCCAGTGTGCTCTCTCCTCACTTCCTACAGCATTTCATTGACCTGTCTCTTGGCCTGAACCTCTCCCTCCCCTGCCTGCTAATAACCTAGGCCTGTGAGTCTCAGTTTCCAAAGGCCAGGGATTTGGGGTCCAGGACCTGGGCCTAATCTCTCTTACATGGAGTAGCAGGGTCGTGTGGTTTTCTGGCTTCTGGGTTCAAGACGGTGCTCCTGAGGACCTGGAATTGTTATCTGTTCCCATTCCCTCCTCTCAAACCCACTAGTTCTCTTTGTTGGGACACAGGTAATTCTTTTCCCCATTCCTCAGAGCACTTGTTCATTTATGCATTCAGGTTTGCACATTTCCACTCAGAGTTACTACATCCTGAGGCCTCCCTGTTACCAGAGTTCCAGGATGGCAGACACACTCCCCTGGAAAAAAAGTACAGCTATCTCACAACCACAGTATGTTGAGAGCTAACTTCTCTGGAGGGTATCAGAGCTGTGCTGAGGGCTTTACAAGAGTCCGTTTGTTTAATCCTAGCAGAGACCCCATGAAATTAGTATTTTTGTCATTTTCTTGTACACATAAAAGATTGAGGTATGTAGAGACCAGTAACTTTTCCAAGCTCACACAGCAAGTGGAAAGAACAGAGTTAGATCTGAGTGACCTTGGATAAGCTTGACCGTGGGCCTTAGACCATCACCTTGGTCACCCTGCACATTTCAGGGACTGGAAGATGCCTGATTTTGATACCATGATGGTTCTAAGATTCAGAATACTGATACTAGCCATTGTAGCCTGGACTCTGTTGTGCTTCTTGGGCTCCACTTTATTGTGATTGGGGAAGCCTGGCCCAACCCATTAGAGGTGGAGTACAGTCTCAGGCCAGTGCTTTCTGAAATGGCATCAGGAGTTCCTGGGATGGTGTCTGTGCAGCTGGAGGATGTAAAGGCTGAACACCAGAGGCAGATGGTGAGCCCAAGAGTTGTATTCTCCCCACTCTCTGGCTTTGTTCTGGATGTTTGAAAGAACCAGACATCCAGAGAAAAGTGTGCTGCTTGCTGTGAGGCTCCACCTTGTCACAGCCAAGTGCTAGTTCTTCAGTCTTCTCTCTGGAGTTTCTGAAACCACTGCTCACATTTCACTGGGAAGGGAAATCACAGACCAAATTTGTGTCCTGGAGATGGAGTCTCCTCGCTCCAGAAGCAGCCACCATGGCTATCAGAGCAGGAGAAAACAAGAGCAGAAAGCAATGCCAGCTAGCATGATGGTGGTGGTGGTAGCCAGTGGGGAGAACTAAAAATAAAAGAACAGTGGAGGAGGTAGGCTTCACTGGCAGGCAGTTGGGTGGGAAGAAAAGCATGCATGCACTTAGATTTGGACACAGGGAGCAGAAGCTGCCTGGTTTGCTCCTGACTACTGGGGCCCAGAGAAGCTCCCCTAGCTGAGACATCAGAGAGAACATCAATGGTGCATCAGTAGTCAGGAGCCCTGGGCTCAGGTAGGACTGGAAGTGTGACATCTACACAGGCTATTTTCATCTATCTTCATGCACCTCTCCATTTAGACCCTCGATGTCTCCTGGATATGCAGCTGCTACATGATTCCTGAGAGTACCATTAGTTGAAGATACAAAATCCACCAAGGCCTCCAAGAGTAGGCATACCTGCTGGGTCGACTAGACTGGGGCTTCCCTGAGGTGAACTAGCAGAGGGTGGGGTATGAGGTTTGCCCAGACTGGGTTTGCACACTGAGGCCTGGAGGAGCACCTTGGAAAGACTTCTGGTCTTACTTCCTGCTCCCCTCCCCTCAGGGCCTTCCCGCATTCTCATCTGCCTCACAGCACACACACAAGGGCACGCGCGCAATATGGGGACTCGGGGCTCAGAAGCCACAGGACACACGAGGAACCAGTGTGTTCAATAGAATGAGCTGAGCTTCATCTATCTACTCGGCCGACACCAGGGTGTAGGGGGCCATCGGGCGGGTTAACGACCGTTAAGAGGCCATGATCTGGCTCAGCGCCTCTGAGTAACTATTAGTAAGTGAAAGGGCTAACAAAGAAACCAGCCATCTCCCGCGCCACCAGGCGACTGGCTCTGAACGCGGACGCCGGAAGCGGAAGCCCTGGCTGAAGGGACGTGTGCACCAAGCCCCGCCCCGCCGGCGGCGGCGACGTCACGGGAGGCGGAGCCAACTCTGCCGAGGGGCGGTGCCGTGCCGCAGTCACGTAGCTCAGGTTCCTGCGCAGCGGCCGCGTGTGCAGTCCCGTTCTTCTGCCGCCGTCCCGCGTCTCTCCGCCAACATGCCGATGTTCATCTTGAATACCAACGTGCCCCGCAGCTCCGTGCCGGACGGGTTCCTCTCCGAGCTTACGCAGCAGCTGGCGCAGGCCACCGGCAAGCCCGCCCAGGTTTGCGGGGAGGAGATGGGAAGACTGGGGGTTGCCACCAGGCGGGGTGGGCCGACCCGAGCTGGGGCTGGGGGAGACGGGGCGGGGGAGGATGGGGGCTCGAGCCCGAAGTGCGCGCCTGGGGTTTGGTTGGGTGGTTCCAGCGGGCTGAGCGTGCCCCTCCCCCCAGTACATCGCAGTGCACGTGGTCCCGGACCAGCTCATGACCTTCGCGGGCTCATCGGAGCCCTGCGCGCTCTGCAGCCTGCACAGCATCGGCAAGATAGGCGGCGCGCAGAATCGCTCTTACAGCAAGCTGCTGTGTGGTCTGCTGTCCGAGCGCCTGCGCATCAGTCCGGATAGGTGCGTGGGGGCACCGTGGGGCGGGGACCGTGGACCCCAGAGGGCGCTGGTGGCACATGGCTAGCATTTGGGGATGCTGCGGACTTTGAGTCTGGCTTACAAACCCTCTCTACCCTCTTTGTACCTCACAGGGTCTATATCAACTATTATGACATGAACGCTGCCAACGTGGGCTGGAACAGCACCACCTTCGGTTGAGGCCCCTTCTGAATTCACCTGCAACGCCAGCTCCAGAGTCCCATAGTGATTTGTAACCCTCTTTCCCAAGGGACACCCCTCCCAAGTCAGGACAAATAAATGGTTTTGCGACCACGTCTGGGTCTTGGTTTTCTTGGCCAGTGGAGGAATTGATGCAGGGTGGGCTTATTGATTGGGAGCCCAAGTTGGGTTGGATGGGACAACAGTCTTGGGGTCAGATCCAGATTGTCCCCCAACCCCGAACTTGCTGTTCAGTACTCCTGTATATCTAGCAGAAACCTTATCCTTAGTGGTGTGTCTGAGCTGAGACAGACTGGCCTCTTGCCAAGTCACAGACCTAGAAATCAAACCAAATGCAAATCAGCCTCCTAGTCAAGGAGTTTATGCCTTTGCCCTACTGGTCTGATTTACAATTCTTGAGCAGGACTCCTGAGTTTGTGAGTGTTTCCATTTCGTAGAGGTGTACCCCCATGGGATGCTGTATGGTGGAGTGCACATGAAGAAAAGGGTTTGGGATCAAACTGCCCTTGGCTGCTGGGAGAGTCCTTGGTCCTGGGCTTTCTCAGTTCCGTTTTTCTCCACCTTCCACATGAGTGAAGGATAGCTTGAAGGAAACCCAGTCAAATCCCTCCACTGGCTGCTAGACTGGTGTCTTGATCTGGAAAACCACTCATTCTATATAGTTTTCAGATGTGTTGAGGGGAGAGGTACACAGTATGCAGTTACTATATCTCCCTGCCCACACCCTAACCTTATGTCTGAGGACAACTTCCCTTGGGAACCCAAGCCCCCTACTATGACAGTCCCCTGAGGAAACATCCCATTCAAGCATGGGCACAGGCTCTTCCTTGTCTGCTCCAGTCATGAGAATGAGAAAGTAGCTTTACTCTGCCAAACCCTTAAGCCATGATATGCTACCTCACCTCGCCCTGTGCCCACTGCAATGGAAACAGTCAGTCATGGACTGAACCTCTGAAACCATGTGTGAAAATAAACCTTTGCTTTCTTTAAAAACAAAACAGATCAGGCCAAGAGGTAGTAGCTGGGGAAGTAGTGCTATAGTAGAATAGAAGAAATGAGAGAGGTAGAAAGGAGACAGGGAAAATTACAATTTTTATTTTTTAGATGAGTAGATAATCTGTATTCAGTTCATTTATTCTGAGGTTCATCCCAAATCTAAAACCTCAGCCTGGAAACAAGTAAGTCACTGGTAACACCAGGGGCCAGAAGTGAGTCATGCCTGCTGTCCTGAGCACACATGCACACCTCACCTCGGCTGTAAGTCACTGGTTGGAAAACAGATGTATCAATGTCCAGAAAGGAGAATTTTTATCTTATACTTGTATCGGTACAAATCACATTCCTTTAAAAAGAGTTCTTAAGTCACATGTATGGCTTGAGGAAGTGTATGTTAGTGATGATGTCTAAGGCTTGTTGATCCGGGAGGAGGAGCTTTGATTTTAAGTGGGTTTGTGAATTGTGTTATATAGGTGAATATTGAGGTGAGGGCAAGGTGTCTGGGTATAAGGGGGAGAAGATGAGAGAGAGATGGCTGTTGTGCAGCTAATTTGGCCTGTGTGTGTAAAGGTGTCATCCCAAGAGAGATTCTGGTGGTTTGTGTCCTTTACAGTGAATGATTGTTATCTTGTGTTAGAAGTTGTGTTGCCTCTAGTGGTTTGAGAATGAGTGATGCATTAGTGATGAGGGTCCCTTGAGTATTAGATTTCTCTTTTTTTGTCAAGTGGTATGAGAGTAAAGGGTGTTAAATGTGTGTGTGGAGTCAGTATAGATGTTTATGATTGTATCTTCAGTTAGCATGAGGGCCCATGGGAGGGCAATTTTGTATTTTTTGCTCAAAGGTGGGGAAGGGGGTGTCACCTCTATATTGTGTCACCTTGTTTTGAGAGGTAGGCTACTGCTTGGAAGGAAGTGTGTGTGTGTGTGTGTGTGTGTGTGTGTGTGTGTGTTATAATCCCCACAGCATTATGATCTTGAGAGGTAGAAAGCTTGGGTTGGGTTAGGGAGAGTGAGGGCTGGGGTGTTTGTGGGGGTTTTTTTTGTCTTTTTTTCGGTACCAGGGATCAAACTCATGACTGCCTACTTGCAAGGCAGGCGCTTATGCCGCTGAGCTAAATCCCCAGCCCCCGGGCTGGGGTGTTTGAAAGGGGCTTTTGAAAATGAGTGTATAGGAGATGAGAGGCTCTGATAGGGACCCTTCAGATGTCTTTTTTTTTTTTTTATCGGTACCAGGGATCGAACTCATGACCGCCTGCTTACAAGGCAGGTACTTATGCCGCTGAGCTAAATCCCCAGCCCCCTTCAGATGTCTTGTAGAGAGGTTGGGCTAGTGTAGCAAAGTTAGGAATCCAGAAATGAAAGAAGTTTGTTAAACCCACAAAACATAAATCTTGTTGTTTTGTAGTTGGCACCTAGAGATCACAGAGACGGGCTTTGTGGTTTGAGGTTACAGAGCAGGTGGTGGGGATGAAGGTGAAATCCAGGTATTTAACCTTTGGTGAAACTTTGGGGTTAGAAGTTACTGTTGGAGAGTTGTTTCTTGGATCTGGTACCAAGTTGGAAAGATGTAGCTAAACCCCAGGCTAGCAGAGCCTATCACTAAGCATAAGATTAAGCCTTCTTGACTCTGAGTCTTCTGATGAATGTAATGTGTTACTGGCCCCACAGATCATTGTATACACCTGATAAACAGTGGCTGCTTTGGGAGTGGAGGGAGTCAGGTCCAGAGACATTGACTTGCTGGCCATTGCTGAAATACTATACTTGTCTCTGTTTTTTATTTTTCTCGCCGCATTCTTGAGACTGATAATGAGGACTCTTGGCTAGAGTTTCCGATACTTGATGCCCAACATGACCATGATATAGGGGAATGAAACTCCCGACCTACTATGTGTCCAGTACGAGTTGTGTTCTCTAAAATTGAAGAATGAATTTTGGGAACAGTGGAGGTTAAGAGTGGAATATATTTATTGGAAGAAAGAAAGCTGTCAGAGAGACAGAAGGGGTCCCGCGTGAGTTGCCAAAGACTCTTGTCTTTTCTAGGGACTTTTATAGAGTAAAATCATGAGGTTAGATGGGTCAAAGGTAGGGAAAAAGGGGAACTTGCAAGGTGGACATGACGTAGGACAGAACTGTGGTCAACCAATAAGATTAATTGCTCAGGCCGAGCATTTAGCTCAGCTGCATTAGCGCCTGCCTTGCAAGCTCGAGGTCATGAGATCAAACCCCCGTTACAAAAAAAGATAAGATTAACTGCTCAGGTAAAAGTGATTAAATTAGGCATAAATGGGAGAGCAAGTCACACAGTAAGCAAGGATGCTTAGCAGCAGGGACCCTTCCCATTGTGGGTGGGATGCCAACTCCTGACTTCCTCAGGGTGATGGAGAACTATTGGGACTGTGGGTCCTTAGGATGTGGTTGTATTTGCTTTGCCTTTTGTTTTGAGATCTGGCCCACAGCAGGAGGTGATGGTCTCTTCCAAAGCTGCAAGGTATCTCAACTTCTGCTCTGGCTCCTCTAAGGGCTCTGCCCTGTCTGACTGCCTATAATATTTTTAAGTAACTCAACTGCCTGTAACAACCAGAACACATGACCTTCAAGCCACAACAACCACTCTCAAGGTGCTGACAATCCACTGGACCTTGTTAGAGTTATCTGGAGCAATAGAGAAATGAAAAGTAAGAAAAGAACAGGTTTATCGAGGACGTGGAAAGGAGCACACAACCCATGGTGGTTGGGCTGTCTCCTGTGACCAGATACAGAGAGACAGAGGGTTATATGACCCCTGATCCGAAGGGGCAGATATTGATGATGTGTGAGGAACTGACTGGAATTCTCTTTGCACACAAACAGGAAAGGAAGTTGCGATTAGGGCTGGAGAAGAAAGAGGAGGTGGTAACTGTTACTGCTTTGGTCTTCCATTATATTAGACCACCGCCATAATTGTATAGTAATTTATACTTGGGCAAAACCTTTTACTTTATATGGCCAAATTAAAACATTTTACTAATTATACAATTAGCAAACAATTCTGTTGTAGGAGGCTGTTTTTCAAAGGTAACTATGGGGCAATCATATTCTTTATGGGCTGAAGAGAAAGAATTTAGGCGATTGATTATGAAGCTGTTAAATGATGCAGACATCAAAGTCCCATCAAAACATATTTTTAAATTACTCCATCAGGTACCTATTCTATCCTTCCTTTCCCAAACTAGACAAACTCAATATGAGAGTTTGAGATAAAATAGGTGAGAGGTTTTTTTTTTTTTTTTTTTGGTACCAGGGACCGAACTCACAACTTCACACTTATCAGGTAGGAGTTTATGCTGCTGAGCTAAATCCCTGGCCCTTCGGTGAGAGTTTTTATGTAATTACAATCAAAGATAAAACAATAAAAATCCACCCCAAAACCATAGCCACATACAACTTGGTGAAAATGGCCCTCTAGGGCTGGGGGTTTAGCTCAGCGGCATAAGCGCCTGCGTTGAAAGCAGGCAGTCGTGAGTTCGATCCCTGGTACCGATAAAAAGGAAAAAGACAAAAAAAAAAAAACAAAAACAACAACAACAAAAAAAACGAAAATGGCCCTCTCATCATTGCAATATAACCTAGAAAATGAGGCAGACCAACAGGCAGTTACTGTTACAGTCCACTCTATCTGTGTTGACAAAATGATTATGAATGAGGCAAATAAAATGGAAAAGAGCCCTGACATAAGCATAACAAAAAGCCAGACCACCATGACAATAAGACTCCCAATGGGTTGCTAAAGAAAAATGAAGCATGTTTTTAAAATATGGGTTATCAAATATATTCACTTTTGTAAGCTATTTGTAATGAAATCTGAAACTTTTCCAATTTACCCACCCACTCAGATTGGCTCTCTGCACCCCATTTCGAAAACAATGCTTCTGCTGCTGTGCATCTTATAAGACCCTCCTCCCTCATACCAAGGACTCAGATTAGAAATGATCCTCCTCTGTCCCCTCCCCCAAGGAAGCCAAAGCATTGTGACAAAGAGACTTTTTTTTTTTTTTTTTGTATTTTTACTGGTACCAGGGATCAAACTCAGGACCACAGGCTAGCAAGGCAGGCAC